AGAAAAACATTATCACACCACGTTCAAGGAAGCCTTAGCAGTCAAAAATGGCATAAAAAAGTTCGACTTCCATCTTAGAGGATATCACTTTGAAGTTCAGATGGACAACTCTTCATTCCCGAAGATCTTGGAGTTCAAGAACAAGATGCCTCCTAATCCTCAGATTCTTAGGCTAATGGACTGGTTTTCCAGGTATGATTTTACTGTTAAGCACATTAAAGGAAACCTAAACACAGTTCCAGACTTTTTGTCTAGACCAAAAAAGAATGTCCAATTAATAGTTGACACTTATAGTCTTCCTCTTATCCTTATGGTCAAACCTCTCTCAGATAAAGCCAAAACTGTCAAAATTTATCCACCCGGTTTAAACCCAACCACACCAGCTGATATTCTCCACTATGCCAGAACCAGATATTTTTACTTTTTACATGAAACCCTCAGATACAAAGTAATTTCAGCCTCATCGTTCAATCCTGATATTCCCTTTGGGGGAATTTTTGAACTATTCTGTGAACCTGGTTGGGACCTTTGTGAGCCTACCCTTTGGACCATTTGGTGCGATACAGTTCAATACTCCATTCCTATTGCATTAAAGGCTCAAACAGCTTACAATATTTTGACACATCCGTATAAAGACAAATTCCTTTTTTGGACATTGCTCGAATGGTTTTCTCCAATACCCTGGTGGAGACAACAGCTTAAGGAGATCATAGACCGTCAAAAGCAGAAAGGAGTTACTGAAGACTCTCTCAAGAATTTGACATCTATCTTCATCATCCACCGTCCATACTTCATGAATCCAGCTGGAACCCTTTGGTCAAAAAATGAAGCTTACCTATGGGCTAGCTTTGACACCTATCCACTTGATAACAGTTACCGTGCACAACTGGCGCATCACCTTTGTGAAATAAATCATTATCAACCAAAGCCAGTAGACCCCAACATTGCCAGCTCATCCCAGAGACCATCTGACACATACCAGTTGAATCAAATCACTCCAGAAGAAGACAAATCCCAAGAGATAAGAAGAGCAGAGATGAACGTCCCGGATGAAGACTTCCGTAAAGTTGAAGATCTAGCAGAAGATATCAACGAAGATCCGATGGAAGAAATGTTAATGCATAAAAAGATGTACCCTTACTGGGACCCATTACATGGAAGCATGACAAGGAGTGAAGCACAACAGATGAACTACTCAGGCTCCACCCGATCTGACTAAAGTAAAGGCTTTAGTTAATGGCTGTCATTCTGACATGCTACTAAAGCAAGATTCCCTTATCTTTACACGTGTCTATTGCGTTTACCGCAAACGTGTTAATGAAGATAAGTCTGGATCAACTTTACTTTCCATGAAGAGATAAGACATCATTTTCGAATCTTATCTTATCTTTTCTACTTTGTCCATACGTATGACTTTAAATAAAGTGTGAATCATGGTGTTTTGTCCTTTGTAAGGCCATTATGATGTGTGGGCCATAGTTTGAATAATTGACTTCGGATTCCACCTTGTATGATAAGTTTCGGGTCCGAATTTCATTTTAGTTTAGCGAAGCTTTGAATTCCGTGTGTTTGTTTTCGCTATAAATAAGGGATACTTGTAATGTTGAAGGCAGAGTTCAATCAAATGAAATCAATACAAGTTCTCTTTAAAATGCTTTCTCTCTAAGTTTTCTCTTCTCTGAAAGCTTGAAGCTTATAATTCTTAGTATCGTTCCCCACTTAGATGCAAGTATGCTCTACACTTGCCTCGAAAGAGGATCCTGTGTATCAGAAAGCTTCCGATCTATGAAACCATTTTATTTCAGAGTGCTCTTCTTATAAGAAATATGAACTTGAGTGGGCTTTTAGCCGAGGGATGGCGCCGTTATGCCCGAGTATGTTCATATAGTCTGGATAAGAAGGGGTCTCTGTCCGAAATGGTATCAGAGCCTAACCATTTTCAGAAGGGGGTATGATAGTAGGAATTATGAGTGGAAAGTGAGTAAGAGAAATCTTTAAACCATGAATAGCCAAACACCACCACCAGAGTCCGGTCCCGTTAGTCCCGTTGGTCCCGTTCTTTTAAATTCAACTCTTTCTCTTCCCGAAAATATTTTGAACATTTTGACTTATTCCGATTTATGTCTCATTAGGTATAAAATAAAAATAAAAAATCATATCTAGACATATCATCACTAAAATAATTGGTTAAGAATATTCATATTGAACTTTTATAAGCCTGTAAACATCTGTGAACTTTTCGTAACAATTCAAAGAATGTTTCTCTAATTTTAGTAAAATGAGATTTAGTCATTTTTTTTCTTTGAGATAAGACTCTTGTAGATGATTAATAATTATTAATTATCAAGGTACACCTTGATTATATTTTATACAAATATCTCAATTTTAAACTGAAAACCTAACACCTTGCCTGTCCCTCCGAGACCTAACATTCCCTACATTATACAACTATCGCATTGTAATGTTGAAAGACACCAAAGCAAATGAAAACTGTAACAATAAATAAAATTTCACATATTCTGCATTTGCTTTTAACTAATGAAGTGCACCTATTTACTTTATATAACGTCCTTTGTAATATACAAATTTTAACATCCTTTATAAGATCCCCTAATATATATATTTTTTAATATTTTCATTCGTAATATTTATTTATTTCATGTTTGGTCTCTAGAAAGCTTTTGGAAGAACTTTATTTCAATGTTAACAGCTTTTGGAATAAAAATGAACTATAAAATTTATTAAGGATTATAAGATTAAATATAAATTATTAGGAACTAAAAACAAAATCTAATAGTGTATCACGGACAAAAACATGTTTAAGCCAAAATTTCATATATGTAAAAAAAATATAAAATATATCATATCATAACAAAATCAAAATGGAAAGATATAAACTAACCAACCTTTGTGTATAGTCATTCAAAGTCCCTCGTAGTAAAACGAAGAATGAATGAATAAGCAGTATGCTGCATTGTCTTCCAAAGTCCTACATTAAATATCGAGTGAACAACATAATAAAAAGGAAAAAGGTAAGTAAATGTTTTTACTTGCAAGTCCCTCGTAAGATAGTGAGTGAAACAACGGATTATACAACATTACAGTCATCTCATACCTAATCTATAGAGGAACAGGCCTTGAATAACTTGACATTCGATTTTCATCGAAAATAAATATACTAAGGTCTTCTCCTAACTGGTTCACTACTTTTTCAGTCAAACAGGTGAGTACTGCCCTCTTTATCGTTCAAATTAAGCACTAAACTTTGTAATGATTGGTTCAAACTGAATTTTTCTAATTACTTTTTCAGATTATCAATTCAATCACTATAAAGTTTGGCTGGTTGGAAAGTTTGGTTTTGGTGCCTTGACTGACGGCTAAAGAAGTAGCTCCCGAATTTCTGGGTCTAATCAGTTGACCCAATTTACTTAGGGAAACATTGCATCAGATAAGCAGGGCCCAACTTTAAAAACAAAAAGGAGAAAGTAGTTGATCAAGATCTATTTTCAATAAACTTATCAATAAGAACATATAAACTTAACAGAATCTCAAATTCTATCCTTAAAAATTTCTTAGCAGTAGGGTTTATAATTAAAAAGTCCCCATCAGAAACTAATCAAAAGTAGGCCAATGTTACAATCAGAATAAAATGTCAAAAGGACAGATGATGCTTGATGTGTAATTTTGGACAAGAAAGACCCTGAAAAAACAGGCCGTCTAGAATAGACTATATATACCTAGTTAGTTACTTCACTCTTGTTAAACTGTCACTAAAGAAAATCAACCAACTCTCTCTTACCCATATCCTACCTTGATACTCATTTCAAGATTGGAATACAGACTTGCATTATTAACCTTATAGAGCATTTTAAGGGTGGTTGGAAGAATGGCTCACTAAATACTTCACATTAAACCTATTTTTTAAAAGGAAAAAGGAAAGGGGAAAAACACCATAAATTTTGACTGTTACATAAACTTTAGGCAGACAAGGGAACGACATAGGGTGTTTGTGGTCAGTGCAAGTCGCACTAGGTACACTATATCAGCGGAAGAGCCTTCATTCACATGCTTGATCAACACAGCAAAAGATATTTTATACAAACTATCCATAGGTTAAAATCAGCTTATGCGCAAATTAAAAATAAAAATTTGGAAACTTACAACAGAGCTTCTACAAATTATCTTATACATAAATTAATTTTAACTTATGAAGAAGTCAATTTTATTTTTCTCTTCATACTTTTTTTCTTTTCTAGAAGTTATTACTCTAAATAACATTAATTTATTCTGTTTTTCAATTTTATTTAAGGGGAGACTCTTTACAGGCCTTTGAATGGGGATAGTGTGGGAGATCGAATCTGTGCACTCAAAACTCAATTCCTGCAGCTTAATCAACTGAGCTGACTTCAGGGGACAACACTCATCCATTGTAAGAGAAATTTAATATTACAATTACAGTTTATAGATTTAACTTGCAATATAAAATTTTCATATACTGGAGACTGGAGAGACAAAGAGTTTCTACTGAGTATTGAGAAAACCAATGTTATTAGTCATATATAAGTAATAAATGATACATGCACAATTTACTGATGTATTTGTTGTTAGAGTAGCGAGGATGAGAGGAATATTCTGTACAGTTAACTCTACACAAGTGACCTAAAACAAGCATAGAAGAAGCAAAACTGGGGGGAAAGCAGAAAGAGAAAAATACCAACAAAAATACTACTGATGCTCATATTGTATTGGCACCAAATACGGAACAACTTGAAACCATTGTTACTGCTCCCGCTTCATCATCCAACAAAGAAGCAAACATCTTCAGGAATATAGAGCAACATTGGCATCGTCTTTCCCAATTGAGGCGTCTTTAAACAAATTCTGGCAAAACACTGGCGGATTTCACTTAAAGGGAGAAACAAACCCCAAGACCAGAACTATCAATAGGATTCATTTAACTCCTGCATATAGTAGTCTCATATAAAACACTGCCCACAACTTCAAGAACCCTGGTTATGGTACTCTGTACATCTGAAATTACTTACGTAAACCTGCGATTGAATAACTACCCTGCCGATTTTGAAACCAGGAAGCACAGTGAATCCCACCTTGGCCCTGCCCTTGTTTGGCCAGGTCAACCTTTTTGTCACATCTTCCATGTATATCATAGAAAACTCCACACCTCTTTCCACTTGAAAAATCTCAACTGCAGGTTCAAACGTGTTGGACAACTTGTGCAGTGTCCAAACGGCACTCGCCATTCCAACAAAGGACTCATAGAACATACTCAAGGATCGCCACGAGTTCAACACAGCCTCCTTCTCTTCCAAATTGACAAAAATGGACGACTCCATCGATGGATGGATGAGCCTCTCATACTTGTGCTCGCAAAATCGCGAAAACTCACAACCAGGGTGAATGCCCAACAAATCCATGGGATTGCTAGACACATGCTCAAGCAGTTGCTTCAAACAACCATCTCTTTTGTCCACATCCGAACAAAAGTGTCCATTGGACACTGTTTCTTCCATTCCAAAATTTAAGGAGTCAAAACCATGAAAAATCCCCAAACAAACGTAGGACAAAAGCGCGTACTGGTTGTGACCTTTCTTGGCATAATCAACATTGGGATGAACCGCGTTGGCAGCTAAGCCCAAATCCCACCCTGCTTTCCTCATCAAGCCAATTAAAATCTTGGTAAACCTATGCGTCGCTCTAGAAGTATCGTGCAACAATGAATCGAACACCTTAACAGTTAACAAAACATCAGAAGAGGGGTTCAAAGCGCTAGCACAAAGCTTCTTAGACAAAATCACGTTACCCCTGTGAAACTCGTCGAGTTTGGCTCTAAGGGCTACCACCTCGTCGTGCTTCTGCTCCAGCTCCCATTGCAAGCGGTTCGAGACAGTGCCGAGGGTTCTCAATTTGCTCTGATTCTCTTCCACCTCGGCTTCCAAACACGACCCAAACGGAAAACCGCGAGGCTCGGGAGCGAGGTAGAATTTCTTCAGCTCCGAAAGCCTCTGGAGATGCGAAACCAGAACCTTGTCCGCGCTGGTCACGTGCTCCTCCACGAACGGCACGTGCGCGCTCTGGAGCTGAAAGTAGGAGGCTTCGAAGGCGGAGACGGCAGCGAAGACCGAAGAGATCAAGGCGTCAGTCATTTCTTTGATCTGAGCTTCGGTTAACGCCGGCGTCGGTTCGGGCTCGCGAGATTCGGGGGCCGGAGGAGTGATCTGCGGCGACGGGGTTGGAGATTCCGGCGGGGGCAGTGGAGGCGGAGAGTGCGGCGGCAGGGAGAAATTATGGGATGGATCGGGGTCGGGTTTGATGACGACGACTTTTTGGTCTGGGATGATCTCTTCCGCGGAGTCGAGGAGGGAGAAACCGTCGATGTCGTCTAGGGGAGAAGCGTTTTCGTCGGAGAAGAATTCGAAGGTCTTGGTCTTGAAAGCGAGGGCGAATTTCTGGAACATTTCGGAGATTTGGGGGGGTTTGGCGGAGGAGCCGTCCATCTCAGGCATCGTGGTTTGTGAAGTAGAAAAGGTGAGGGGTTTTGAGAGGAAGCTTGAATTGAATTTGAATTCTGCTACGGTGTTTGTTGGTGCGGTATTGTAGTGCCAGCTACTGGATGATGGTGGTGGGAATGTGCTTTGGATGTCTTGGAAGGAAGGGCACATTTATTTTTATTTTTAATGTTTTTTGGGGCTGTTGTGTTGTGTGTGTACTGTTCTTACTAGGTTATGACTTTCGAAAGAGGAATTGTTTTATTCTGATTCTCGTTAACGGTAAAATGAAAGAAAAGAATGGCGTGGTGCAGCTGCCAATTCTTTTCATTCTCACCGCTAATCTATACTTTTTGCGGAAACAAAATTTCGACTAGGGGGAATATCACTAGTGATTTCACTCGTTTGGTTTGGAGCTTCCTTATATCATGATACATGTTATGTTTGAATAAAATAACAAAAAATTATTCTATCTTCATACAATAATTATAATTCAGTTTTTATTTTAATCAAATTCCAGTTATCTAAGTTGATGACTTTTTCTTTTCATATTCATTTTTTATCTTAAATTATTAATGTTGTATTCAAGACTTATGAGTTTTTATTATCTCAAAATTATATGAAATTAAATATTATAAAATACAAATAAATTAATTATATATAAATGGTATACGATTGAAAAAGAAATAAGTATAACATGTTGACAGTGGTAAGCAAAAAAAATGTTAAAAACTTTAATTTTTTGTTTTCGTATATTAAGTTTAAAAATATTAATATAGCACTTTGATTTTTTTATTTTTAAAAAAGAGTTTATTTTAATGTTTTTAATAACAAAATTAACTGATACTAATTATTTTCATACAATCCAATACCATGAAACATGACTATCTTATAAATAGTTATGTTACCCGTAAGTTCTATTATTAAAAAAAAAAAGAAAAAACTTACAAACTGATTTGTAAAGTGAAATTTACAATTTAGTTATATATTATAATTTTGTAATATCCTAGTGAACATGAATAATAATGGATGATTTTCATACGGTGATTTCTAACATCTATATGTACTCCATGATCTAAACATCTATATATCCTACATAAATTTTGTAGATTTTACATAAATTTTACGTAGTTTGAAAATAATTTTAGTTTCTTTTTCTTTTATTTTTGCTTTCTAGAGGATTTCTATGGTAAACAATTATTCTACTTCTTTATTCTATCTAAGAAATCATTTCGGTTTATGACTAGTTTATTTGGTTAGGATGGTATGTCCATTTTTTTTTTCTTTTTATTTAATATATTATTTCAAACACTCATGAAAATTTGGGATAATATTTTTTATCATTAAAATATTTTATTTTGCCTAAAATTTTGTTTTATAAGTTCTATATGAAATAAAGATATAAAAATCTTCACGAAATTTCAATATTTTTCGTCCAAACAACAATTAAATTCGATATGTTTTTTGTTTTTTACCAAGTAATCTCACACTTCGTTTTTTATGTAATTTCTTTACTGATCAAACCTTAAAACAAAATATTTCACTTTTCATTCATGCATTCACTCACCTTATATTCTTATTTCTCAAAATTTTCTCATTTCTCGTCTCTCATAATCATCTCCTTCCCTCACATCCCACGAATTAGAAAAACAATTCCTAAACCTTATTTTTCACCTAAATCATCATTCATCATACATCTTTCCCTTGAATTTAGCCATAACCACCCTCAGAACTTGTTATCGCTAGACAAACAACAAAGCCCTTGCAAAGATTTTAAAAATCCCTTGTCTTATGATTCTTATAGATGCTCTCAAATCTCGAAGGTTATTATTATTTTCAATTATCTAAACGAAATCCTAAATTTTCAAATTAAAAGGTTTGAAACATTTTTTATCTATTTTTTCTCCAATTACTTGTTCGGTAAACTCACACTAAGTCATCTTATTTGCTCAAATTTTACTTTGTTAGGAAGATAAAAGAAGAAGAAGAAGAAGAAGAAGCCTCGAAGAAAACCTTTCTACTTTGGAGTATAGTTTACAAAAAAATTCTTCTTTTTTTCTTAGTCTTCTAAAAATTCTATAGGACTTTATTTTCTCTTGTATTTTTAAAGTTTTAAAGTTCGACCATCTCCATATGGAGAACCAAACTACAAATGCAACTAAGTCATGGGGGAAAGGAGAGTGAAGTTACAACTTCTAAAATTCATTAAAAATAACTTCATACTTTGAATTCCACGTACCATATATGCAAATTGAAGTCTAGACGAATCAAACATAAATAATATCTATAGAGAATGTTATGACCAAAAGAGTTAAGAAAGGTCATGTCAGAATATGGAATTAGAGCAATCAAGTTCCACACTCACAAGAATATGCCAAAATTAGGCTAAAAAGTTCTTTTCAAGTCAGATGGTACTAATCTTCCTTTAAATTCTTCATCAAGGATCCTTCTTTGATTGGAGAGTAAACCGATTTTCTTTAGAAACTTGGATAGTTAAAAAAAAATTGTCACTCTTGGGTGAAGGAGGAGAAAAATTTCTATCATAATGTCCTCCTGGTTATTATCCTTAGAACCTAATCTAGCTTTGTTCCTAGTTATGATACTAACTTCATCCATTTTGTTTCTAAAAACCTATTTAGCACCTATTATATTAATGTCGTTAGTTCTAGGATCAAGCATCCATACATCATTTCTCACAAACTAGTTTAAAACTTCATGCATAGTTAATATCCAATTTTCATCGTTTAGTGCATGAACAACATTTTTGGGTTTCATTTGAAAAACAAAAGTCATGTGTGTATAAAAGCTTAGCAAGCTTTTTGAAAGCTATAAAGGTATCATTCTTAGACACGAGAAAAAGAGTCCATGTAAATTTAGAAAAGTCATTAACAATAACCAATGCATAGTAATTGCCACCAAAACTCATGGTTCTTGAAGGACCAAAAAGATTCATATGTAGAAGCTTAAGGAAGGTCTTGAGGTTGAAACAAAATTGTTCTATTGAAAAGATGTTCTGATTTGTTTTTCCTTTTGACAAGCATTGCATACTCTATCCTTTTCAAACCTACATTTTGGTAGACCATCCACTAGATTTTTTGGAAGAAGTTTATTAAGTAATGCATGTAGATATATGCAATCCTTCAATGCCAAAACCAAGAGTTTTTATCTTTAGTTAATAAGCATTCTATGTTTGATGATGCATGCTTTATATCAAAGATCTAAATGTTATTAACACACTTACCAACCAACAAAACTTTGTCAGAACTTGATTCATAAATCAAGAAATGATTTGGTTTGAAACACCTTCTTCCCATTATCACAAAATTTATTGATGTTAAGAAGATTATGATTCAGTCCTTCGACACAAAGTAAATTATAAATAATCATAGAATTTCCATTCCCTATGTTCCCATGTCCAAGAATTTTCCCTTTGTTGTTGTCACCATAGGTGGCATAACCTCTAGATTTCAATTTCAGATTCAAAAATTTATTGATGTCCAGTGTCATATGCCTAGAACATCCACTATCTAGAATTCCTCTTTATCCTTTAACTATGTGTGAAAACAAATCATAGCACAATATGATACCCTTTATTAACTTTTGGGTCCAGTAGAGTTAATTTTTCCTTTTTGTATGTTTAGGAATCCATTTAACTTTACCATTAGGAGCATCAAATTTTCTAATATGATAATGTTAAACAAAATGACCATTCTTCGTGCAGTAAAAGCAGGTTATGAATGGAGATGCATTCGGTTTGATATAAGAGAAGAAATTTTAAAACATTTTAACTTTATTGCCAATAATAGGTTTATATCCAATCTTAGCTTTTTCAAAAACGCATTTTTGTGAACCAAGCAAAGCATCAAGGACGTTGTAGTTATTGTTAGGTATTTTCGAGGGGGCAAACAGCAGGGAGATTCTCACAAATTGGTCATGAGTCAACCATATAAGAAAATATGACATTACTCTCAACCAAAAACCTTAAGGCATTAGGTTATATGTCTTTCTCACTTATAAGTTATTCAACTTTCTCATTTCTACCAAATGTGGGACTTCAAACTCACACTTGAATCTCACAAATTGGTCATGAGTCAACCATATGAGAATATGACATCACTCTCAACCCAAAACCTTAAGGCATTAGGTTATGTGTCTTTCTCACTTATAAGTTACTCAACTTTCTCATTTCTACCAAATGTGGGACTTCAAACTCACACTTGAATTCTCAACATCTCCCCCTCAAGTGTGATTTTCTTTCACATTGGTATACCTTCCCCTTGAGCGAAAACATTTTTTAGCCATGAGTATCTAGTGATGACCTCATTTGTACCACCGTTCAACTTAACTGGACTCTCTTGCCTAAAACCCTTGTCAGGAAGACTTTCGACACAAGGACATTTCACCATCTATAATCATACTCAACTGAGCCGGTCACCAGATAAACCATCGATTCTGATACCACTATTAGGTATTTTCGAGGGGGAAAATAGCAGGGAGATTCTCACAAATGGGTCATGAGCCAACCATATAAGAGAATATGACACCACTCTCAACCCAAAACCTTAAGGCATTAGGTTATGTGTCTTTCTCACTTATAAGTTACTTAACTTTCCCATTTCTACCAAATGTGGGACTTCAAACTCACACTTGAATTCTCAACAGTTATCACATTATGTTTGCACATCAAATTTGGAACAATCACAAGAAGATTTATTGTAGATAATCTTTAATTTCTCCATGTTAGTAGTTTTAGCATTGAACAATTTATCTTCCAGAATTTTACCTCATTTTCAAGCTAGTTTTTCAATCCTTTTAATCAATTATTTAAAGCTAGTTTATTTGCTTCAACATGCATTTCATTGAAAACATCCAATAACTGATTGTAATTATGTTCATTTTCAATGGAGATAAAACTTACACTATTTAAAAATTATTCATATTCAGCCATTAAACACATGTCAACTTCTTCATCTTCTTTTGAGGAGGTCATAGATGAGGAGTCATCATTACCTAGTCAT